ACCATCAACATGGAATCAATATATGGCAATAAAACTCTTTTCATACGACGGTAATAGTTTACTATTGGATGTTATGAACGTAATTGAATTTCCATATTCAAAGGTTTTTTTTGTGCAAAATATGCGCACGGAAAATTGGCAAATAAGACCAGATTCAGGTTTATGCAAAAATTTACTGTCGAAATAAAGGAAACTAGCATAGCATACACAATCGACGAAAACGACGACGGCGAATTTAAAATTTCAGAGCTCTCGAGTACATCACCGGTGAAATTACTCTCTGAATGGAATTGCGGAACTCTCTGTCTCCCTCTATCGCTCTCTCTTTTGCTCGCTTATTCTCTTTCTCTTTATAAAAGCAATTGTTTACGGTGAACAGTTTTATTATGTGTTTTTTGCTGTTTTTTTCGTTGTTCGATCGATGCAATCGCCTAATCAATGCATTTCTTTTGCAATATTCGGTGTACATAATTTATGCATAAATAAATATTGTGCCCCCATTATATTATGGGTGCATTCATGCCGTAATATTATTTTTGGCTCTCTCTCTCTCTCTCTCTGTCTCTCTCTCTCTCTCTCAATATTGTGAGAGTGTAAAATTTGTCGCTATTTGTTCTAATATACGTTTTTTATTTATTTTTTCACTCTCTGCCAATAATTGTATATAAAACCAATAAAAACGCTTTTGATCATGAAAAATATTTGCAAAAACCTGTCAGTATAAATGAATTAGTTGAAGCGAAAAGACTGCATGCATTGCATAATTGCACATTCAATCACACACACAAAAAAACGAGTTGTGAAAATGTATAATGGAACGAGCACAAAAAAAACGATTGGAAGCTAAAACCAATTTGAACAGAATATCATTTGTGTGAGGCACCACCGGAATAAGTCGATAAAAATATGAAGAAAAAAAAATTGGCCGGAGGAAAATTGACCAAACTATTATTATTATCATTTGGTCTTAAAATAATGTAAACCGATGGCAATACAATTTGTTTCCACCACAATGTCCATATGCAAACGCAAACACAAACACATACACTCGAGAAAGAGAGGCAAAAAGCAAGCGTTTGCCGGGAAACATAGGCGGATAAGAGCCTGTGTATATGCGTGCAAATAAAGTATGGGTAGCGGGATAAAATGCAATAGAATATTCCTCGATTTATTGTTGTATCTTATGGTAAACATAAAAAAAAATTGCAAAATATTTTCATTTGTTGACAAACGCAATTCAACAAACTATGCGAGGTGCATTGACCGTTGCGTGGGCACACACACATACATACACACACACTTTTTTTTCCTCTTCTATGGTCAATCTCCTTTTTTTCCAGTCAAGTGGTTTTGTGTGTGTTTGTAAATAAGGACTAATATATGGGAGCGAGAAGAAAAAAGATATAGAATACGTACATATATAATCGGGAATGGTTTTAATGTGAAAACGCGTTTATATGTTAAAATTGGATCCGAAAAATGGTCCAGTGATGTTATAAACATCGCTCATGTAATATGGTTAGATAAGGATGTGTTCAAAAGATTTTTAGCTGAGTGATATATGGTGGATTGCGGGTGAGTTTGCCATCTACTACGTACAGTCGTACACACACACATGATGCCTCCATCAAAATGTCAAAAGCTTTCAAACACAAACGAATGTATGGCACTGAGAACCACTTCGAGCGATTGCATACATATACATATAAAAACATTGGGGAGTTATGCGAATTTCACTCCGGCAAAGATTTAACATATTATTTAGAAAAGTAGCTTTGTTTGAAGCGAAGAAATGTGTGTGTGTGTGTGTTAATAATTTATTAGTTGTGAAATCCGTTTCAGCGCTTTGTTTGCTTGAAAAATTGCATTCCACAGATTTCAGCGAACGGAATCAGTGAAAGGGAGAGAGAGAGAGAAAAAATACAAATAAAAGGATAAAGAACAATATCTATACCAACATATGCCCGGTCCGGGTGAATTTGTGCCATTCGACATAACAAAGAAAAATTCGTGCTGAGCTGAGAGAAAAGTGCGGAAAAAACGAGCGTAGTGGCGAGAGACAGAGCGAGAAAAAAACGGCATACACGCTTTTTTTCCATTTGGTTGACTGGTCGTGACGTATATGTGACGATTATACAGCGAATGCACTATATATACAATTTCGTTTTTGGTTGTATTTGGCTGTTGATTTGTGTGTTATTTGATATTGCTTTGGAGTAGTTGTTGTAGCTTTTTCTTTATGGCAAAATACAGTTCTTTGTGCGCAGTTCAATGCATTCTCATTTGCTGATTCATACAACTGTTGTGTGTTGCATTTTTTTATACGCACAAAGTATTGTGATCGTACAAATTGTTCGGGCTATAAAATGGGGCAGCAAGTTGGTTTCCTTTTTTTTCCTTTCATCAAATTGATATCGTGGTGCACCTGTGCATTAAAACGCTCGTTTGCAAGATAAAATACATTTTATTTGTGTGTTGCATTAATGGGGCGGCCACTGTTGTGCATGTCAACTAGTCAATTTGAATAAATGGAATTTAATACAAACGCAGCTCATGCTTAAGCAACGTGAGCACTCACTAAACTCACGAAAATACGAGAGAAAAAATAGCACACACTTAAACGTTTCATAAATTAACATTCGACTAGTTAAATATCGATTCTGTACACAAGACTGAGTGGTACGAATGTAAAGTTGCTTTCGACACTTTGTTGATTTTCGTGAATGTGGTTTTTTCTGTTTTACTCTTTCCACTTCTATCGCTCTCTCACTTTGTGTTACTGTTGTATTTTCCGTTCGTTGCATTTTGACTTGCAATTGCAATCAAACTACTGAGTAGATTGAAAATCAACTAATATTCGACTCGTAACGATCAAAAATCTCAGCAGCTCATAGAAATCAAAAATGTGTTAACAGTTCGCTCGATATCGGTTTGTGCTTGTTTACAAAGTTCTTAAAATGTCTACATCATTCTTATGCTTGTTAAACTATCGATGTTGTTTTTTCTCTTTCGGCGGTTTTCCCTTTTTCTCAATATTAATTCATCTCGAAAAGCATTTTCATTTTGGCATTTCCGACAAGAAAATAACCGCATGAAAAAAAAACACGAACGACGTTCAAAAGGAATCGAATTTCGATAGCAAATTCATAAGAACGAATTGGAAAAATGAATGATCACGCAGTTCGAACAGCTGCCAAAAACGGTGAAATATCACTTGAAAATCAAAAGTAAGCAAAACATTTGGCGAACGCAGATAGTGGCGCACCAAAAATCGATAGGATTGCACGCGTGAGCTAGAGAAAGAGGGGCAGAATAGGCCCGATACGGACAAAAGAGGCACCGTTTTCAGTAGTTGCACTTTATCAGATGCTCTATGTAAAGTGAACCGCATAATTACTGCTGTTTCAATTTGACTACCATTTTAACATTCATCGATTTCTTGTCTTCAGTGAGTTTCAAACATGAGGGCCACTCAAAGTTCTTGCTTCTCTTCAAAATTATTTACATGGAAACCACCTATTCCGTAAGTAATGCAATGAATTTCTGATTATTTGCCTACGTACACTTCATTCGTCTCTTTCTCTCATCTCTATTTTTCAAGCGATACATTTTCGGCTGAAATGTGCATCTTTCGGTTTCTCTCCATTTTTCAAGACTTGCCACAGAAAAGCAGTTAATAATAAAGTTTCGTACAATTATTATCTGTTCAAAAATGATGAACACTCAAGACGAAAGATCATCTTAAACGAATAAGATTAATTTGGATAGTGGCTGCATTATATCTTATTCTTTATTTCTTTCTTCTCTTCGTTTCATCTTTTCCAACTGGATGCAGTGTGTGTGTGTGTCCCGTTCCATTAATCCTCGGCATTCATGCCATTTCCAATTGGAAATGCCTTCAAGTTCAATAATTTGTGCCATCAGCGATAGATAGAGAAATAGATTTTGGTGGTGTGCTAGCCGATAATGTTGCACCATCATTTACGCGACGCACATACGATAGAAAGAGAAATAAATTGAATGAAATAATTCAAATCAGCATCATCCTCATCATATCGTACATTAAATGCCCCGAATGTGTCTGTGTGTATAATGTGTATCAAAGTCTCTGACAATTGACTATATATATGCGCGCTCTCACTCCCCAAGTGCAATGAACTTGAAATTGGTTTTTATTGTTGTTGCTGTTGCGCGCCTCTTTCTATCCCGCACATTAAAGCGTTTATATGTATAAACATGAGCGAACCGAGCTCAGAATATTGCTGTATTATTCTTTTATTTTATTTTTTTCGGTGTGTTTGGCTCATGACAGAATAATTTTGTGTATTGCTTGCTGCTGCTGCTGCTCTGTCTCTCTCATTCTCTGTATGTGTATGTATTGGATGCTTTGTGTCTGTTCCATAGCTGACCGTTTTTTTTTCTGTCTTGAGTTTTGTTTCGTCTTGATGTTGTTGTTTGTCTATTTCTTCTCCTTCCTCTTCTTCTTCTTCTTATTCGACAACGTTGCTACCGTATTGGAATAGCGACACAAATTCTCTCTCAATTCAAAATGCTGTTATCCACGCCGAAAAAAAAAACTGTATGTATTTGTTCTGTAAAATTCTCACACACAGTTCTAATGTCACACATTTCTCCAAAACTATTGTTATGTTTGCTGTGGAATTTTTGCATTTTAAAATTGATAATTTAAGCAGTGATCATAAAATAAGTGGTCAAATTGTTTACAATCTGTATGAACACACATACACACAAGCACACGCATGCACAGGCACACAGAGAGTCATAACAAAAACATTGTTGTTAGTCATGAATTCTGGAGAAGAAATGAAATTTCATGAGTCAGACGAAAAGCAATCGAAAGAATGCGACCGATAGACACATCGAACACATTCCATTGTCGGACAATCTCGATGGATTCGTCTTGAAATTGAATCAAATAAATGAACGCGCTTGTCAAAGAAAATAACAAGAAAATCTAACAATTTTTTTTTTCAACTCACCTGAGATAAGTCGGGATCATCTTTAATTTTATCCAGGAGCGTTGATGCCGTTGCCGTGTAGCTCAGGCTCATCAACGCCAGCAACACCACATTTACAATTGCACACATGTTCAAAGTGTTGTTTTTCTGTCTGTCTGTCTTGCTTGTTTCGGTATGTACCGGTTCGTTTACTTAATTTACGCGTTGGTATTCGCGGTTTATTACGTTCTTCTGAATCTTCTTAATTCGATAAGCAACACTTGTTTAACTTCAATTTGACTTGAATCATAACATCTTATGCGCGCTCGTTATGTCTGTGTCTGAAGAATTTTTTTTTTGCGTTTTACCGCTTTGTTTACACAAAATGCCTTTTGATTTGTATATAATTTGTCTTTCGCTACTTTTCCTTATCTTCGTTTGCTATTTTTAGATTATGTTCGTTTTCTCTTTTTTTCGGAATTTATTCTCTTACTCTTTTTCGCTTTGAGCTTCGATCGCGTTAACTGTTGTTAAGTATGAATTGATGCTTTTAGCGAGTAACAAGATTTGCTGAAATCTGCTAATGCTAATTTAGAAAAAAAAAAGAAACGTCGAATTATTAAGTGAGAAAAAAAAAACAAAATTTACGTAGTAATGAAAAAAAGGCGTACAGTAAATCGCACAAAATGTGCACACCGAAAAAAAGGTTATTTCTGCTGACACTATCGATGTTTAGATTAGACAAAATAAACGAAAAACAAAAATCAAAGTCCACGAAAAAAAACCGTTTTTTCTTTCAAATTCAAATTGACGAAGAAGAAAAAACAAATGCATTCGAGTTCATTTCAATTACATCAACACAAACATTTCGATTTCACACCATTCGCAAGAAGATCTCAAAAATTTGCATAAAATGCGTCAACAACAGAACAGAACGAAAGAGAGAAAAAAATCAAAAAACAACAACAAAAATCACATAAAATCGCCGTTCGATATCGAAAAATATATCCTCTCATCCATGTTTGGCTTACGCAATGATTTGTTATGAAATTATGTCCTTGAGCGAATGGATATATTTTTCGGTATCTTTCGTCACGTTAAAACACGTTATATCTCTCATGCTGTCGGTGTATTCGTCGTTACAGTGCATAAATGTTACACAGCAATGATTGCTGGTGGCAAAACAATAAAAATAAATCTAAGTCCAAGATATTTAATTTTCTTCTTCTTTTTTCTTTTCGGCTAGAGAGAATTCTTTTTTTGTTCCTTTCACTAAAATGCGAAACCGAAACGTTGAATAATCGAACAGTGAGGAGGAAAACAAAAAAACTAACAACAAACCACACAATTGAAGTGAACTGTTACAAATGAATTTCGAACACGATATACACAGTAGAACAGTTCGCGAACTACTGAATAGAATTGTTATGCCAAAGTGTATGCGACCGTCGAAGAAACGGTTCGACTGTTGGTTGCCTGGAGAGAACAGCTCACTGCTTGTATTGTCACTTTTCGTTCGTTCAGTAAGAGAGAAGACTGTGCTGTGTGTTCGAATGTGTTTGTGTCAAATGTGTGTGGAACTCATTCGTCGTAGTGGCACACGTTCGTTCCCACAAAGCACATTCACATACTTGTTGCCGGCGAAGCAAAGCGTTCGAATCAAGTGCATGGCAAATGGAGACGGTCATCGGCATTTTCTAGCAAAAGCATTGATCCAGAAACTTGTGCAAACCTCATAACAGTCGCCAGTCGTTTACTATACACATTTTAATTGCAAAACATGTGTAAGCAATGAGTAACATTGTTACGATATCTGACATTGGTTGTATTACTCGGAATCCATTATCAATGTCGTACAGCTCGAAATTTCGATTGCTACGATTAAAACCAAATTTTAGTTCGCATTTTTCGTGTTCAAATGTAGAAACAAATTAAAAATTGTAAACAATGGAAAATATTTAATGACCCATCAAAACATCAGTTTATTGAACATAAATTGATAGAGAGTGTACGATGGATTTGACCGTACTTTCATTTCATTTGATTAATTTTATATCATTCCATTAAAAGAAATCACAATTTCACGCTTGATTTGCTCAATTTGCCATTTACTTCCTACAAAACATTCCGACATACGTAGATGGGTGCTTGTACTATCGTTGTTGTTGTTGTTGGTTTTCGCACACGTATGGAACAAACGAATTTGAATCAATCGAAAAAATTGGTGGAAGAGCGAAAAACGTAACGCTGTTCGTCTATTTATACACTGTAATATGTTTGTCACTGTATAATTCAAACAAACCGTTATCATTTGAAACACAAATGCCTGATAACGATAAAATTCTTAAGTAATGAAAATAAATAAAACTTTCAGTCATCTTTTATCATTCAATTGGATTCGCATGGGATTTTTTTTTCTCTTAAGGCATTTTCGGTAATGTGTGTTTTTTCGCTTTGATTACTCAACAAAAGCAGAAAAAAACCAAAAAAAAAAACTCATTTAAATTAGTCAAGAGTGCGGCATAGTCGGGCGGCTTTGGAACAATTTGAACATTTTGAAATCGAAAAAAGAGACAAAGAACAAAAAGTGCAGTGTATTCATATTACAATTTTAACTCTGTTAGTTAGCTGCATTGTGTTTCATTAGTATTAATTGCAAATGGCTGCTTCTGTGATTTAGTGAAACGTAGATGAGATAGAAGATGCTTCGCACACAACCGATTGGTGTGAAAAATGCGAAAAAGTCGCAAATGTCACCACCGAACGTCAATGTAAGTAAAGCGAAAGGTACAAAGTCCGTGAATAGCGATAAAAAGTCGAGAGCAAGTGTAAGTGATATTGGCAAAAGTGGTGTCAAATCCGTGCCAACAATCAAAGTTCAAGGACAGAGCCGTTCCGATAATGTGACTCATATGCCGCTGAATCCCAGTCGATCCAATCAAATGGTCGACTATGCCGACCGAACGCTTGAGCGATCCAAAAGTTTTTTCCTCACCCGAAAATTATCGAAAATCTACGATTCTCTGACGAATAGTAAAGAGAACCTGAAAGACAACAATGATTCCAGTTCGAATACAAAGACACCGACACCGACACCGCTCAAATTTATACGAAGTGTCAGTTTGGCTGCCATATCACTAAAAAAGGATTATCGAAATAGCATGCGAAAGCCGAAATTGGAGCAATTGTCGGAAGAGGATCATCCGTTTGATGTGCCAATTGAGAAAACGAAGCGAAAAAATGGGAAAAAATCCAAGACTGCCTCCGTGGACAGTCTGTCAAGTCGTACGTCCGAAAAGTCATCGGTGATATCATCGTTCAAGCGTACATTCAGTTTGACACCGTCTCGACGAAAGTTATCAAATCCAAAGTGGAGTGCGTCCCTGATGAGCTTACAACAAATCGATGTTATGATTAGTTATGAAGATTGGAGCTTCATCGATTACGATAAATTCAACACATATGAGGAAAATCTAATGAACAAAATCAAATCATCGAACCAAATCAACGATGTATATCGACCGAATACGGAACGATTTCCGGGTGTGAAATTGCGTCCACGGTCAACTAACGATATGGGAAAACAACGTCGGCACAGTACGGTTTATCAGCCAACCATACATGGTGACTATGATACAGCCAATTGGTTGAATGACAACCCAAACAAACGATGGAGCAATCCTTGCATCGTACCAAATACGGAATACACGTCGTTTCCATCATATGCTTCAGCTGCAAAGGTTCAATCATCGCTCGGTGTTGATGAGTGTGATTGCAGTGCGAGCACCAATTGTTTAGAAGAAATTCCAACCGTGTTGATGATGACGACGACAACCACGACGGCGACGACGAAAGTAGCTCGTTCCGTTGATGACTTAACTGGAAAATCTAATGAGAAAACTGATTTGCTATTGCGAACGGTAAGTAGTTCAATTTATGAGTATGCTCATTTACTAATTTTACTCTCGACTTCTCTCAATTTGAATGGATTTTCTGCCTCTGGCTCTGATTCTAACTCTAGCTTTGATTTCCCTTTTTCTTCTCGTTTTTTGTTGTGTTTTTTTTCTCTTTCTTCTACGTTTTATCGCATCATTTGAAAAGTTTACGTATGAAAAGCTTGTAATTTACATGTCCATGCTGATTATTCTCTGAGCGAGTGGCGTCTAATCGGCTTAGCTGAACATGACATGACAAAGTCTAACGTCATGGTGTAAAAACGGAAGAAAAAATCGAAACAAAAATAAAACACCTGAAAGCCCCTGTTTTAAGTATGTATAAAACGAATCAACAAAAGCAACACACCGACTGTGCCGTATATTTTACCGTCGAAACAAAAGCATTAATTTTGTTTGACGTATTTCGTTTACACCTCATATCATAAAAACCAACTGGAATGAAAATATAAATCGTCAGTCCTTCAAATTCTGAATAAACGTGCCAGAAATTATATGTGTTTAGTGACTTTATTCGCGACATTTTGATAATACATGCCTTTCGGTAGTTTAACTACAAAATCTGGCCCTTCGTTTGTATTTTGATGGTTTTTTTCTTCTTCTTCTTCTTCTTCTTCTTCTTCTTTCGTTCTCTCTCTCGCGTGGTTTATTTCGACTTGATCAGTTTGGATAGCGGCCGTCGCCATATGCACGTCGCCATACGCACCATGTGTCTGTGTGCCGGTATGTTGAGCAGTAAGCACCCCATGTGCTTTGGAATGTCACGGCCAGAATGGCTTGTTAATTGTAGTTATTTGTATACGTGAGTGCGTGTCATGGATTTGGCAATAGGTCGAATAGGTGGCACATTTACTCTTCCGCCCTTCGATTTTTTTTCCTTTTTCATTTTTTTTCGGTGGCTGCTAGTTGTTGTGGTTTAAATTGTTCACGTCCAAGCCTGGTGCTTTTGTTCGCATTTCCATCACGATGTCGATTCCTGGTGAGACATGTAAATACATGAAAACTCTATAACACAGTCGGAGAATTTGTCGAGATTGCCAATATTTAATGATTTCAGTGTAACGTCCATAGATCGGGTGTATACGATAGTTGTTGGCGTGTTTTAATCGATTTACGGTTGCTAAAAAAAACACATCAACAACTACATGGTGGAAAAAAAGAAGTATAGAAAGCTAGAGAGTATTTTTATGCCATACGAAAAAAAAATGTTTGATTCTCCACGCATAAATGAAGGAATGACGAGCAGAATAAAAGGAAAAGAAAGAAATGCGAATGAAATAGAAATTACGAAAATAAAACCTCACCAATCGCTAACTCTATTTTATACGATGCGAAGAAACGATAATGAGTTCACTGGCTTCACATGCACTGAATGCTTTTGCTCACCACATTGTTTTGCACGAGCTTTTCATTTGGGAGCTGGTAGGGTTTGCTCGTACAGTGACTGAAATATGAGTGAAAATCATTCGTACAAATGGGCAGGGAAAGTCATTCGAATCGATTTTCATCGTCAATTGGCACAAAGCGAACGCACATTAAGCCATTTCACATGAACAAAGACATATATAAACTCTTGAACTCGCTCTCTCTCTCTCTCTCGCTATCTCTTATTCTCGGAATTGTGGGAGAATCAATTGCGATTCCGTAGAAGAAATAAGGTTTTGATAAAACAGATAAGCCAAATGTTCAAATATCTGACTTGGCACACATCCGATCGTATGTTTGCTACCTGACCTGTTTCAGGCACACAATTGCCCGCCCTAATGACTACTCGACACTAAAACATAAACGTCTCGATTTTAATAAGCCCATTGAATTGTCGTTCCGAGTGATTTAACTTGCGTTCGGGGTCACATCTCGAAATTGATTCATGAACATATAAATACATTCCTTCAATGTTATATTATTATTATATATGCATACGATGGGGCTACGACGACATTACCATTAGGCAAACATTGAAAAACATTTCACCTCGCACCATAAAAAAATGAACCAAAATGAAAGGAAAATAGAAATGCGATCACGAAAACTATCGTCATTCGAAATTTCCGGACCTTTCTTAATCGACAAGTTATGACAAAACTAATTCATTCAGTTTAATTTTGGTCCCAACATAACTAAATATTCCACATTTCTTTCATTAATTTGAACAGAAAAGTAAGTCAAAGGAAAAAAAAACTAAGAACAACAAAAATCGGAACTCCTTATTGAGCCCATTGTAATTAGGACAATGGCAAAGTGAAGCAGAAAAAAAAAGAAATCGGTAAGAAAGATGAAAATATGAACCACAGAAAACCTACAAGTGTTTTAGCTTACAGGCTAATTATTGAAGGATTTTTTCCCTCATGCCATAGATCACAACAATAGTAATAAAACTTTCGGAATTCCATCCAACGAAGCAATAGAAAATCAGTTACGCGATGGAAAATGATTTCGAATGACGTGTAATTTGAAAATTTAATATTAATAATAATAATTTAATAAAGAATATTTTTTCTGGGCGGTAATAATGGGGCTCACTCAATGGAATTGTGATGTGGATACTCGCATGCGTGTGCATCGAATCGAATCTGCAGGATGTGTCGCATGATATTGTAATGCTGAAGGTTAAACAACGTGACAACAAAATATGCAAACATCCTACTTTTACACAATTTTCGTCTAAATTGAAAGCGATCTAAACGATGAATATTTAAATTGGGCGGCGACTCCAGATGTTCAACTAACTCATATTGTGATTATAGCAATTGTTGAACGTTACGTGAAATGGATGGTGGTACACGAACAGTAGGGAACGCACACAATTGCTAATCGCCTTAATGATCATTTAGAGCACTTAATGTCCTTTTTCTCTCTCACTTTTTTTCAGTTTGGCCATATGCAACAAAACCAACTGGAATTCCCACTTTAATCTGCTTTTCTCCATTTTTCTCTCGTCTCATTCCACTCGTCTTTATGCAAAGATACATATATTATACAATAAAGATGGTTAATTAAAGAGGTGCAAGATAATTGCACAATGGGAGAGCAACCGTAGCAATGTTTCTGGGAATCAATTTTTTTTTCTTAAGCTTCAAATCAAATTTTCAACGAATAGTAGCTAGATGGGTCAAGAGGGACGACAATTGTTGAAGTGCTATTTGATATTCTGATGAAACTTATCTACTCTCTTTTCTCCTTGTCCACTGCGGTAGAAAAAAGTATGCTTCGAACAATGATCAAATCATGAATATATGTGGTTTCATCTAAATGCTTCTGACATTGATGACAAGAATGTGTGTGTGTGTGTGTGTGTGTGTTTATGCTATGAAATCAAGACTGAAAAGTACAAGAATATTAGTTGTCTTCTTTGTTTTGTTCTGTTTCGATGGAGAGTAATTAAGACGTTTCATTCATACAATGATCCAAAGCAATAGGTAGAAATAACTTTGGAATTTTCGGCGAAATATAATTATGTTTGCGCAATGCTGATGAATATAGCGAACTTTTCCTACTTGATGGAAAACTTTTAAATTAGCAGCATTGGTACGGGAGAAAAAGTGGTGGTGATGATGATGATGGTGGTGGTGGTTGTGTTGTTCGATTTAATTGCTACAGATATGCGATTGACATGCAAGGAAAAAAGAGAGCGAGAGAGAGAGAAAGACTGTGCGCGATAGAAAATTATGCGAAAAAAAACAACCACATTTCAATGCGAGAAAAGTGCTTTGTCAGTTTCATCAATAAGTGGTTAAGCGTTGGTAATTGCTCTACTTTAAAATCAGTTCGAATGAACGGTTTTTGAGGCAAGAAATAAAGCAGGAGAAGAAGTAGTATAGGAAGGATGAGAAGAAACTAAGCTAACGAGTTTAATGTGGAAAACACGTTCGCGAAAACGCAAAATATGCGGCGAAACGTGCAGAAAATGTGAGATTGCAAAATTGTAGAATGTTGTATACACTGTGAACATTTTTTTTATCATAGTTTTCAACGGGAACGTACAACATCATCTCTGCGGCACAGCCGATCTAAGTTCGTTTAGAATTGTATGTGTGTGTGTGTAAGTGTATGTCTATTTGTGTGTCTTGGAAGACACACTACAGTGTTTTGAATGATAGAGAGTCTCTCTACGTCGAATAAATCTTAAACGACAACAAATGCGATTTTGAAATCGTCTTCTCTCGCGATTACTTCTTCTATCAATGTGCGCAACATATCAGCGAAACGTTATCTCCACCCATAATATAATGATATACTTTTGATAAAAATCCAAGCTGATATACTTGACTTGGACTGCGTAAAAAAAATATCATTTTTTTCGAATATGATGCAAAGTTATAGAGAATCTGCCAAAATGAAATCTATCGATTTGGTTCAAATGTCTAAGATTTGTTTTTTTTTCCTTACTTATTTCGCCTTCGTTCGCCCTCACTTTGTCACTTTCGTTGCAACACGAAAAATCACATCCTCGTTCGATTTCTACGTTCTTTTTCCTCTTCTCTTGTTTGCTTATTTTATTCCTTGTAAAATGGATTTCAACGTGAACAGATGACACCGTTATGGAAACGAGAAAGTCGAAGAACTTATTTTTTGCACAAACAAAAAATAATATACGAATATCGAGAGTAAAAATAATAATGTTATTTTTTGTTTGAGTTTACCTTTTGGCCTGGTATGTGACTGTCGCATGCCGATGCCAAAAGTGCTTGTGTCCCGGATTTTCATGTGACATTACACATCTATCTGTACCGCATCTACATAAACTGTTTGGTGTGCGGCACATTTGAGCAAGCTTAAGCTAAAGCAACATCAACATCAACAGCAGCAGCAGCAACAAGTGAAAATGCCAAAAAACCAAATGCCGAAAATTCCGAATTATGTGCCTTGCGAATATTTTTAGAGGGTTTTAGCCTGTATCAGCGCATGTAATCTGGTGATGTATACAGTTATGATCATATGTGTCAATTTAACGGGATTTTCACATT